AATAAGTGAAAGTATTTCCATAGAGGCAGTTGCCTCTGGATTGAGCCACAATAGAAGAAACTATGCATGTCCAGACTGTTCCCCACCGTCTCATACACAGACACAACATTTCCAAAATTTCCTGGTCTCAAGTGGGCATTGAATGCTTAGCCCAGGGCTCATATATTTCTGGGCCCTCACCAAAGCATAGATGCAGCTTCTCTGGTTCTCATCCTAAGTTGGGCATTGTCACTTCTTTCTGTCCTACAGGGGTTTCAGCTGCACTCATCTTCCAGCAGGAGGTGCAGGCTTCCAGCACCCAGCTGCGGGTGGTGTTTGATGGGGATGCTGTGCTCTTCTCAGATGAGACAGAGCGGGTTTTTCAAGAGAAGGGACTGGAGGGAGCTGTGGAGTATGAGAAGAGAATGGAGGCCGTGCCAATGGGAGAGGTGTGTTGGCTCATACTGTCTTAAGTTGCTTAGTCCCTTAGATCTGGTTCCAGCTGCTGTGTCTGGCTCTGTGTATCATCATCCTCTGTGAAACAGAGCAAGAACCTGCTTCTGTTCAGTACCTTTTTCAGTAGCCTGTGCACAAACTCTCAAGGTCACCTCTGCCCTGTGCCCTGACTGCTCTGTGATCACTTCCTTTGACTTCATCTATGGCCAGTGAAAGCTAATGGAAAGTGTCCCACTGGTTTCAGTGACAGCTGGGTCATCTACAGAGGAGGTTTGTGACACCAGCCCAGCACTTTATATCAGTCAAGGAGAGGTGGCCGTTTGCTTATTTCTTAAATCACTTCGTACTCGCAGACTCTTAGGTCCCAAATTCACAGTATTTTTCAGAATCACGAGGCAATTTCTGTGGTGCTGGTTAGGCAGGCCCACCTACTTTCCAGGAACATGGATAAGGCCACCACATTCACAACTGACCTACTTGTAGTTTAAACCAAGACGTCTGTAGCAAATGTCCAGCATACTAACCCATGCTGTCAGCATAGGCACCATCCAAAGCTTTGGACATTTTTACAGAAGCACCGCAGCACCAGGGACTTTGAAAAGCACCCAGTGCTGTGACACTTACAGTTGTAAAAATGGCAAAATGCACACCAGTGCTGAGAAAATGGCAGCAGTGCACTTTTGAACTAAAACACATAGAAGGTGTTTAAGTTCAAAAGTGCACCGCCGCTGCTTTCTGCGTGCTGACGCACGTTTCGCTGCTTATACAACTGTACACAGCGCAGGGCAGTTTGCACCAACTCGCATCAGATTAATCGAGTCTGCTGTGAAGCGGCGGATCTCTGGTGCATCGCAGAACAAAAAAGTATGTGTATAAATGCCTTTGGGCACCACATGACAGAGCCAGGTTCACTGGAGGTAAGGTGTCAACTCCCTCCCTGTTTCCAGCCCCTAAGTTACATTAAGAAACCGGCATGAATACCCGAAACGCTTTCCTTGTGTCATATTTCCATGTAAGCAGTTGCTGTCGTGGCTTCTGGGACTATTATATGGTTATTAAGGGGTGAGGAAATGTCCATGAGACAATTCCCCAAACAATTCTTAGTCTGAGTTCCAAAATGATCAGAGACTTCACTCTGTAAGCGATCCCAGCTTCTGTTGCAGATAGCTTAAAGCTTCCTTGCTTGCTTACTCCTTCCTAGTGATTTTTATGTACAGCAGAAATTATCTCCTCTTCATCCACTCTTACACCATTAATTCCTGTGTGCTTTCCAGGGTCCACTGAAGGCATTTGCCATGCATCTTGGGAAGATGCGTCAGAAGTTCAGCCAAGAGAATTCCCCTATTCGCACCTACTTGGTGACTGCCCGTAGCGGCCGTGACATGGGCATCCGTGCCATCAAAACCCTTCGTGAATGGGGGCTGGCAATCGATGAGGCCTTCTTCATGGACGGGGCTCCCAAGGGCCCCATTCTCTCCAAGATCCAACCCCACATCTTCTTTGATGATGGGCTTCATCACATCCAGGGGGCCCAGGATGTCGGCATACCTTCAGCATGGGTCCCTTGTGACTGCTGATGACCATGGATGAAGGGGCAAATGTCATCCAAATTACCCAAAGTGCATTTGTCAAATGTCAAGCCAAAGTTTACAGTGGAAGGGGTAAAGAGAGGATTTTTAAACCTGCATCAAACTCAAGAGAGAGGGAGAGAGAATTCTGCATGTGGATGTGATGCTGAATATATGATTTTTGTGTATCTCTGTTCCAAAGACATGCTCCATTTGATTTTTGGGAAGTAACAAAAGAAGCCTAAAATTTTACCAAAAGTACCTGCTTGAAATGTCACCTATCTACCTCTCATCATTTGCTATAAGCTGTCTCTCCAAGGATTGTAGCCCGTAGGGCCAGTATGCCACAGCAATCCTTCTGTGTGCTTTAGAACTACTGCTTCTTTAAAATGGCCTGTAATACAAGTGTTGAAACAGCAGCTCAGATGAAGAGACCATGGGAACTGAAGAGAACATGTAATCATGTCACATTGACTTGGCAATGTGTAAACTATAGCTGTAGTCAGAGATGAATGTTGGTCTTTAGGATTTGGGGCCAATACTACCTAAATTCCCAAATGTCTGCTAAATGCTGAATCTGTTGAGGACTTTATTTTTCCAAAGGATTTTTTACATGAATATTTTGTATGTGCTCGGCCAAATCCTGCGAAGTGCTAAGCCATTCACTCCAGCAGAAAATATAGGCGTTCAGCACTTTCTGGGATTTCATCCATTTAAGTATATATCTTCTCATTGATTCTGGCTTGAATTTATACCTGGGCCAGACTCGGGTCTCACAGTAGCATGAATCTGCAGTCATTTCCAGAGAAGTCAATGAAGTTATATCACTGCAGTTGAGATGACACTCAAACCTTGAATATGTTGTAGTGAAATGAACAGCAACATCTCCCTCTCTCTTCTGCCTTCCTGCAGATTTCTTCACCAAACAGCATAGTGCAAGTGTGTCACTGTCACTTTATATTGCATAACTCTATAACAGCGCTTTTCTTGCAGTATCTCAGGGATGAGTCGGCAATACTGCAGGAATGACAGTCCCCATGTTCTAGCTGCCTGTTCATGTTTAGGACCCTAGCCACCGGGGTATGTGTATGTTTAATAAGTAGGCTTCTAAGCCACATTCTTTATTACAAGCTATGAAACAGGCCCTATGAGGAGAGGCTACGAGACCTGAACCTGTTCAGCCTCCACAAGAGAAGGCTGAGGGGGGATCTTGTGGCCTGTTATAAACAAGTCAGGGGGGATCAGCAGGCATTGGGGGAGTCACTGTTCCCCCAAGCACCGCCAGGAGTGACCAGGAATAACGGTCACAAGCTGGCAGAGGGTAGGTTTAGGTTAGATATCAGGAGGCGCTACTTCACAGCCAGGACGGCTAGGGTCTGGAACCAACTTCCAAGAGAAGTGGTGCAGGCTCCTACCCTGGGGGTTTTTAAGAGGAGGTTAGATGAACACCTTGCTGGGGTCGTTTGACCCCAGTACTCTTTCCTGCCATGGCAGGTGGTCGGACTAGATGATCTGCTCAGGTCACTTCCGACCCTAGAAACTATGAAACCACAGCTTCAGTGACTGGGTGAGCATACAAGTTGAAGAAACCTTGCTGAATAACAGGTGGCAAGAAATCTGATTTACTGCAATGTGCAGTCTCTTTTTAGAGAGAGAAGTTTGGCTGGATTGTATCATAGCATCAGTATGATGCGGAGTTTTCAGGTAGGAAATGTATTGTATTTTAAGGGCATGTGAGTGTGTATCTATTTATAAAGAGAAATAATGACCAGATTCGCAGTACATGTAAATCTATGGTAGCTCTGTTGACCGCTAGTTTAGAACAGCTGAGGATCTGTATGCGTGAGAGAGAGAGAGGGAGAGAGATGCTGGAATAATGGCCTGTCATTTCAGATATCACAGCAAAGGGCTCAGACCAGTACCATGCAAACACTGCATTGCCTTGTGTCTTAGGCTAAAACCCATTTATCCTCTTCTCCTTGCTGGCCTCAATAGCTGGTATTTGATGGCACTGGGATATTGCTTTTGCTGGCACCAGTGCATCTTATGCCTAGAGTGAGTGGATTTGGTTTGGGCTTTTTTACTAGAGAGGATGCAGTAAGTTGGAGCCACTCTGACTTTGCTAGATTGCGGTAGTAGGTTTCGAGTATTATTGTAGCTGTGATGGTCCAAGAAATATATGAGAAGCAAGGGTTTTTGGGATATCTTTTATTGGACAAGCTATATAATTTGAAGAGATGTTAGACAATCTTCCATGTACCTGAAGAAGGGCACTTTGTACCTGAAAGCTTGTCTAACATCTCTTTCAACTATACAGTTAGTCCAGTAATATACTGCCAAAAAACCACTTCCTTCTTTGCCAGATTGCAATTTTTTGCCAAGGACTGAATTTGAGCAATCTGTCTATGCACACATTCGCCACTAGAGGCCACCATGCCATCTCACTGAGAGGTGCAGGCTGGCTAGCTGGCCCTACCATGGCTGCAGACATGCAGAGGACAAAGTTAGTACTCAGAGCTCTTAGCTTCCTTCTCCCAGGGGTCTGTTTTAAACAGTGGGTATGAATAAAATATGCCTTGAAAAGGCCCATTTAAAAGGTACTAGTAGACATAGCTACACAAATAATGGACATTCCACAAACGCAGGGCCCACTGAAGTGAGAAAACGCTCATAGACCAACTTGAAGCAAAGAACCGGTCATCAGTTCTCTTTTCCTGAGCCTGAAGGAGCCTAGGAGCAGAGCTGCAGGAGCAAGTGTTGCCCAGAAGCAGTTTTGCTTCCCTGACAGCTGATGGATGGAGATGCAGCAGTTAACTCAGAGGAGTCCCTTCCCCAACACTAGTTGAAAAGAGCCTGTTCTACCACTGGGAGCAGGAGAGTGTGTGTCGGCCCGGGACAGCAGGGGACAAAGTAAAGCATCCCCAGGTTCTAGTATGAGTATTGATGACAGCTCCTACTTCAAAGGGGGAGATCATGCTACCTCTTTTGTAAATAGATTTCTCATAGGAAGAGACATCTTCAGTTTAGACTTTGGTAGTTGGCTGTGTGGTCTGATGAGTGTAAGGAGTGCCGAGCTGAAGTCATTGGTGCAGAAAGGCCTTGAAGTACGCTTTCTACCAGTGGCAATGCAAGAAGAGTGGGTTAAAAATGGTCTTTTTTTTTTCTTGGACAAAATAATGTTAATACAGAGATTTGATTTTTCTATGAAGGAAGGAATGATTTTCCCAGGTTAAAGGAGAGTTTTCAGTTCATTTCAAAAAGGAAACTTAATTTTAGTTTCACCTTATTTTTTAAAAAAAATTAATTGAAACTTAGCAAAATAAGCTTGGTTTCCTATTGAATCTTTGTTAAAACAAAAAAAAACCCAAATCCTGTCAAATAGGATAAGTTTCATAAAGCACTTTACTGAAATTAGTAGTGACTAGGGGGTGGGAAAATAGGAGGAAGACAGCAGAAAATGGTTCATCAGTTCTAATTACCAGTAACAGTGGCACAAGTTAAGTTTTCTACTGTGTTTGAGCCTTAAGTCACTTGAGGCTCCTATGAGTGAGCTCTAAGCATTTATTCCACCAGTCCTTGAAAAAAGGGAAATCATAGATTTCACAAATAGGAGTCCTATGAGGGCATCTCTGCCTTATACCACATTGGATAGGATGCAAGGCGCACTGTCTTGCAATGGGGCTTATATCCAACTCTTCCACAGGCAAGTAGATTGTTGCTAAAATTCTCTCCTATTCATGTTGCCCCTTCCTTTAGGTTACCCCGTGTCCTTTCAGTGTTACAAAGGCACAATGTTTCTCCATTTAGTGCATTCTGTACTTATCCCATGGGCTAACATGGTGCATCATCAACCCTTGCACCTTCAGTCCTGGTTGATTCATCTTTACTATTTTTATTTAAATTTTCTTCAGTGACAGGAGCCAGAAAAATCCATGTCTGTAGCATTAGATAAAAATGATGATAACACTGAGCCAGGACAGGTATCTGGAAGGTCAGTGTTGGTTAATATAACATTAACTGTGCCAAACTGATAAATATCTAGATAGTAAATGAGAAGCATATTGTACATTAGACAGAATACTCTGAATAACATTGCGAAAAAAGATGGGAACATGAGAGCAATAGTGTTATTACCATACAGCCCCAGTTGATGAGTTAGTTAGGGATCATGGGAGAAGCATGGGGGGACAGGCGATTATTTTCTATTTAACTGTGTTCAGAAAATACAACTTTAAAAAAAATGATTTACAATTTAAATTCAACTCCTTCAAATGCTGTTTTCTGCAATAAATAAAATGCATTGATATCAAACTGTTGGTGTCAAGAATTTCTCTCCCCAGTGTTGTGTTTGATTGAAATAGGTTATTGAGTAAAAAACAGCCTAATTTAAAAAAAAATACCTCTCTCAGATTTAAGAGAAGAGCTCAGTCTCAGTCTTAGATTTTTTTTTTATTTAGCAAAACAGTTTAGTACTGCTTCACAAACACCAATGAATTTCTTCATACCACTTCTGTGAGGTGAGGAACTATTATTATCCCCATTTTACAAATGATGCACAGTAAGATTAAGTTCAAGCATCTGCTAGTTTTGCATGCTCAATTTAAGACACGGAGGGACATATTTTTCATAGTCCTTGATATTATACAGTACTTTATACACAAACAGCCCAGCTCTGTAAAAGCCTAGCATTTCTGCTAACCAGACCCCACAACTGCTAGTAAATGAATTTAGTAACCACCTCTGAAATCCTGGGTCTAGGTAACTTGTCCAGCATAATGTAGGAATTCTGTGACAGAAGCATAAATAAAACCCAATTCTGCAAGGCAACATTTGACTCCGCAGTCCCTTGCCTCATTCACTATATACCTTCTAACTTCCGTAAAAAATGAGACAGGCAATAGCCTCCTACACCACATACTTCCCCAGTTCATCCAGCATAACTCCATCCTTCCAGCTCAAGCAAGGACTCCTTGCACAGGCAATTCAAGAGCTCACATCCAGGTTTCTAATTAGAGTTCCAATATTATTCTTCCCACTCTGGTTCCCAGTCCTTGTTTCCCTTTCTCCCCCAGGATCCTCATCCCAGTCGTCTAGCTTAGGTTTTGTGTCCCAGTCTTTTAGCCCAACCAGTTCTAGTCTGTTCCTTCAACTAATTCTGTTCAATTTCAGTATTCCCTTAACAATTGCTTCCTTGTTGTGATTCATCCAGCCACTACTCCCATTCCAGCTCTCATCCATACTTCATTAACTCATATAGCTTACTCCTCCTTCATGCAGACTAGTCAGTGGGAAAAATGGGACAACAGGAAACAGAGAGTCCCTTTACTCAATTACTTGCACCACAGTAGCAATAGTTACAGTGACAGTCCTGCTCACCCCCTGAATCCATAAGCTAAAGTATACTCAACCCAATCCTTGGAGAATTTATCTATTAAAATCTAAATACATGGCTAAGACAGTGGTGTCAATGTAAAGGTTTTGGATTGTTTGGCAATAGGCAGAAGTTCTAGGAAGGAGAGCTGCTATCAAGAGCTGGGATTCATTTGACCAGAATTAGAAAAATCATCTTCGGGTGTCATCTGGCCAACCTAGTAAGGAAGACTTTAAACTAGGTCCCACGGGGGATGTTGACAAAACCCCTCCAGCAACTGAGCAGCAACCCAGAGGTGAAAGGACAGGAAGAAGTATTTCAACTCTGGAAAAGAGCTAGAGAACCACAGGTAAGCAGTAAGTGGGGTAAAAGGGAACTGGGTAGATCAAAATGCAAAATAAATCCAATGTATGCGTGTGTGTGTTATATATGCATGCAAGAAAACGGGGAATTAGCTAGATGAGCTGCAGCCTGTGAAACACTGATCTGATGGGTATCACTGAGGTTTGGCAGGACAGCTCTTCCGACTGGAATGTCAACACTGAGGGCTACACTCTTTAAGAAGAACAAGGTTGGGAGAAAAGGTGATGGTGTCAACTTGTGGGTCAAAAACATATACACTTGTTCCCGGATTCAGAGAGGAAGAAGATAGCAGAGGAGAGGGCATTTGGGTGAAGATAAAAAATGAAAAATGAAGCATTGATATAATGGTGAGGGTTTATGATAAGCCACTAAGTCAGGAAGAGAAGGTGGATGAGGC